TTTCCAGCAAAATCTTAATAATTTATAGGAAACGTAAGCTAGATTATAATCCTTTAAATAGATATAGTTCATATAATCATTCGTCTTATCTTGTGGAAAAAAAATGTGCCTCGTGAACTAGGTCCTTGTTCGTCATGGAAGAAAAACTCGTGTGCTCGGGAGGACTGGGCTGAGGCCACGAGCCACTGACCTATATATACTGCTAATGAATATGATGTATTTCCTTCTTTGTGTACGAGCCTCTGTCCTGCATGGCAGTGAACAGTGACATTACCCACATGAACCTGACCGACGTATATGTATGTATGTATGCGTATATATATGTACATGTATATGTGTATGTATATATGTATATGTATGTATATAATATATAATAATTAACGGTTTATTGAAAGAGCTTGGCAGCCAGAAGGCTGAAAATATACAGTTGCATAATTGGGGAATGGGTTTCCATTACAAATAATATACAAGTAACATAAGTGATACAAATAAGATATATAATAACTAGATGGGGAAAAGCTCAAACTACAGTTCATTTCAACATAGTGACAGTGCAAGGAGTAAGAACATAAGAACATAAGAAAATAAGGAGTCTGCAATAGGCCGGTTGGCCTGTGCATGGCAGCTCCTGTCGAGAGTTACTACCACTCTCTATCATCCATGAATCTATCTAGCCTCCTTTTGAAACTTTCCAAAGTTCCCGCACTTACTACAAAGTTGCTAAGCTTGTTTCCTCGTCCACCACCTATTTGTGAACCAGTTTCTTCCTATCTCCTCCTAAACCTAAACTTATCCAACTTGAATCCGTTGCTCCGAGTCCTATCCTGCTCGGATATTATAAGAACTTTATCTATCCCTTTATTGATTCCTTTCACCCACTTAAATACTTCTATCATATCTCCCGCACTCTTCGTCTTTCAGGGAATGCAAGTTAAGTTTCTTTAACCTATCTTGATATGGAAGGTTTCTAAGTCCCGGAATCATTTTTGTCATTCTTCGCTGCACCGACTCTAGTGAATTTATATCCATTCTATAATAGGGCACCAGAACTGAACCATAATCGAGGTGCGGCCTGACTACAAGATATAGTTGCAATAAGACCTCTGCACTCTTGTTACTTACAACTCTAGATATAAAACCCAATACTCTGTTTGCCTTATTTCGAACATTAACCGCACTGTTTTCTAGGCCGTAGGTCCGGGCTTACAAGTACCCCAAAGGTCTCTTTCACAAGTCGACTTCTCTAGGTTGATGTTGTTAAGGCTGTATACATTACAAGTATTTGTTCTTTCAATATTAAGTACGCTGCACTTGCTGGTGTTGAATTTCATTTGCCATTTTCAGACCACCCCTGCAGTTTATTTAGATCCTCCTGTAATGCATTTGCATCCTGCCCAATTAATTTGCCGCCTTATTTTGGTGTCATCCACCCAAACTTGTTATCACTGCTGATCCCAGTATCTAAATCGTTTATGTAGATTATGAACAAGAAGTGGGCCTAGTACTGACCCCTGGGGAACCCACTGGTTACACGGCCCCACTCAGATTTAACACCATCTACGCTCACCCTCTGCGTTCTATCGGTGAGCCATGATTTTCTATCATTCTCTCGATATTATTTCTCAGAAGCCTTGATGCGGTACTCTGTCAAATGCTTTGCTAAAGTCTAAGTAAATAACATCGTAATTTTCGTCATTATCTACTACCTCGAAGACTTTCCTAAAAAACGTTAGCAGATTTGTTAGACAAGATTTTCCCTTTGTAAACCCATGTTGAGAGTCGTAGATTAATTTGCTTTTCTCTAGATGCGATCGGATGCTATCTGCTATAATTGATTCAAGAAATTTCCCCACTACTGACGTCAAACTGATCGGCCGGTAATTTAGTGATTACTGGGAGTGAATACACTGGTTTATTACAAGTTATTGATAATTTTACAATGGTTGGGACTGGGCTGTTCTTATAGCGATCAGTTCGTGCACGTATGGACTGGATGCGGTTGTGGTGTCGAACAGCAATTCTCGGGCTAGGGATCTCAGGTGGTAGTAGGAGCCGGTGTCGAGGATGGTGTAGAAGCTTCTTACCAAATTTGCAGATGAGGTCGTGGTGATGGTCAGAGAAAGTCGAAAGGGTGTGTGTGTGTGTGTGTGTACATATATGTATATGTACTGTCAATGAATATGATGCATCTCTTTGTATTCGAACCTCTGTCCTGCATGGCAGTGAACAGTGACATTACCCATATGAATCTGACTTCTATACATTTATAGCTGTTAATGAATATGATGTATTTCTTTGTGTATGAACCTCTGTCCTGCGTAGCAGTGAGAAGTGATACCACCCTCAGTGTCAAGACCTGACTGAATTACTCAGAATAGGCAAACTGTACTACAAGCTCTGCCAATAAATTTGTTAAATCTAAAAAAAAACAGGTGGTGCCATCGCCGGGGAGATGGCGCCCTGCCTACGCATCCTCTATCCACGCCCAACACCCTTCACCCACGCCCACCACGCCTACATTACTACACCCACGCCCACCACTCCCACATTATCCTTCTTGGGATTTTTTGGAATGGGATATTGTTCTGCGCGTGGGGATCTGATTTGGTATATTCTTCCCCATCCCTTCCCTCCCCTCCCGTCTCTTTCTCCCTTCACTGCTTCCCTCCTCTTCCCTCCACTATCGTCCCCTCCTACTCTCATTCCCTTCCTCACTTCCCCCAACTCCTTCCTTCCTCTCTCCTCTTCCCCCTTTCTTCCCTCCCCTCCTTTTCCCTCCTCCTCTTTCTTCCCCCTCTCTCCCTCCCCCTCCCCTTACCTTCACTCCTCTCTTTGCTGTTTTTTCCATGTCTTTTTCCTTCCTCTTCACACTTTTGTCTTTCTTGTTAGTGTAGTTATTTCACCTGCAGTTACCTAGCTTCTACGTGAGCAAGTGAGGTCCTTCTCAAACACATCATATACTAGCTAGCTAAATACAACTCAATTACACACCAGCTGGATACACGAAACACACACCCCTCGTACCAGCTGGCCAGACCCAAGCCCCCACCCCTAGGAGAGGAGGCTAAGTAGACCCCTTCAGTGGATACCGGTGGACATTTAACTCGGGGCAGCCAGGAAGCTTCCCATCAACGCCCATCATCACGGCTCAGAGGGTCAGGTTTTCGAAGGTAACTACAGTCCGCCGCCTCGATTTGTCATCATTCTCCATCGCTTCGAATCCCGAGGTGAAGGAGTTAATATTCCGCTTCTGCGACGAATAGAACCAAGTCAGGAAGGTGAGGGAGAGGTGATTGTCGCAGGGTGGGTGAGGGAGTGTCGTCCTTGGGGGCGTGGAGGTGAGGAAGGATTGTTATTGCAGAGTGGGTGAGGGGGTTTTGTTGCAGGGAGTGAGGAGGTCGTCTCCAGGGTGCTGGAGGGGGGCTAGGGAGGAGGGACACGGGATAGAGTAGCTGTGGTGAGGAGGGTTAGGCTACAGTAGTATAGGAGTATACAGTACACCAAATCTCCTCATAATGTACTGTTGTCCTTCATATCCTGCCGAGGTATGCGGGCACTCTTCCCTGCAGGGCACCACAAGGATTCAACCGCCCACCAGGTGGTTACATCAGAGGACACCAGTGGAACGCCAAAGAACCCTTGAGAGAGAGAACAACAGCTGGCGATCATGAAGGAGGACCCTTAAGCATAAGAGGACAAGTGGTGCTCTGTAAGGGACCCTTGATTAGGAGGGCAGATCGAGGTCATGGAGGAAACACGGACACAGGAGGGTTATTGTGTCCCCTCCCAGCTAGGGGTCCTGGCCTGCCTCCTGCCGTCAGATGGAAGGCTTCATGAGGTGCACGCCGGGATCAATATAGAGGCGTGAACACTTTCCGGCGTCTGGCGTCCTAGCTGCACAGCTCACTGTCGGGTCACACGCCTGCTGTTGCCGCTTGAGAGGAACAGTCATACGCATGTCGTGATGGGCGTCTAAAAGTAACCGATTCCTCCATGTCGTGACTGGTACGGTCACGTTGGCGGCATATGAGCGTGATTAAGACCGATGACGCAGGAGGTACAGCTCGTCATGTACTCACGGGACCCGCCAGCCTACGGCGTCCTCCTCAGGTTGTGTACCGTTTACGTCACTTGCTTCTAACCAATCATACTGTCGGGTACATGAAGGCTAGGTCCCGTGTCCTGTTACCTAGGTTACAAGTAACCTGCCTCACCGTGGGCCCTCCCCCAAGGTCATCACATACACCAATACTCGGTGGTTCTCTGATCAATACTCGCCACGCAAAGTCTCGTTATGGCCCATAAAGGTTCGTGTTTGTCCTCGATGCACGTCGTAATATATCACCAGATTCACCACCACGCCCCCCACCTCCCCGCGCCCTCTTTACGCACCGACCCCGCCATTCTTACATCTCTCCTCACCCTTTCCTACCCACCAACTCCGACAGACTTATATATCTTCCCGCCACAGTAATTGCATTACAGTACTTCTGCAATTAATATTTAGACTTATCCTTGAGTTATTCATAGTGTACTCCACATCCCTTCCTAACTGTTTCAATATCCTACTTGTGTCTCACCTCCACCACAGCGTTTCCTATACTTGAGTTTACCCTTGTATTGGTCTCATTTTCTTTGGTTCCATTTTCTTCTTTAATAATATGTACCAATTCCGTAATATGTGGATTAATTAAATGAGTGTGAGGTGGATGTAGTATCCTGAGTGGCTGTTGCTTTGACTTGTAGATAATGAAGCGTTTTGTAGAGCTGAAAATAAAGCTAGTTCTCTGTTTATGACTATTGGAAAACGAGAACAGGATAATATCAGAGCGGAGGTTACGAGTAATTTAAAACTGACTGTAAATTAATCCCATACACACCTCATATATTTATATCAATAATTTTACCGTAACAGAAAGTTCAAAACGCGCCTTCAAAGTGAGGTCTCTCTTTCTCTCTCCTGTGAATTAATTATTGATTACACCTCTTCTTCCCTACAGGCGCCTTCCTGATCCCGTACTGCGTGTGTGCTGGGAGGTATGCCCATGTTCTTCCTGGAGGTGGGCATGGGTCAGTTTATGAGTGAAGGAGGGATCTCGGTGTGGAAGATGTCACCGTTATTTCAAGGTCAGTATGGCGGAGACACACACACACACACACACATATACACACACACGGATATAAAAGTGAATGGAAAGATAAATAAACAAGTGAATGGTTGATATTTTATGCATAGAGATACATACATACATACATACATACATACATACATACATACATACATACATATATACATATTCAATAAAAACTATCATAGAAGTTAACAATTGGTTCAGCATATATACAGACAATGCAGCTATACAGTTCAACACGCATATAAAACACACAGGTACGGCGGTAATTAACCTGTTCTCATGGGCCTACAGGTATAGGGTTTGCAGCCATTGTAGTGTGTAACTGGCTCAACGTGTACTACATCGTCATCATCGCCTGGGCATTGTTCTACTTCATCCTGTCGTTCCAGGCTGTGCTTCCATGGACCACCTGTGATAGCTGAGTGGTACATGTGACTTACCTTTGATTTACCTGAAGATTAACCACCTTAATGGTAACTTAATCTTAGCTAATTTACCTGAACCTAACCTAACCAAACCTAACTAACCCAACCCAACCCCTTATGTGCTTAGGGCGGTTAATCTAAGGGTATAATAAGCTAGGGTGTCTAAACTTCAGGTATATCTCGCCTTTCTTACAAATGTGTTAAAAGACGAGCGCCAGTGCAGGCGGACGTAAGGATGAGTTTTTGTCTGGCGAAGGGCAGAGAGGGAGGGAAAGATGGCTGTTTGACTTCTTTATGGTGTAGGCCAGTCTTACAGGACAGTCATACAGGATAGTCTTACAGGACAGTCATACAGGATAGTCTTACAGGACAGTCATACAGGATAGTCTTACAGGACAGTCATACAGGATAGTCTTACAGGACAGTCATACAGGATAGTCTTACAGGACAGTCATACAGGATAGTCTTACAGGACAGTCATACAGGATAGTCTTACAGGACAGTCATACAGGATAGTCTTACAGGACAGTCATACAGGATAGTCTTACTGGACAGTCATACAGGATAGTCTTACTGGACAGTCATACAGGATAGTCTTACAGGACAGTCATACAGGATAGTCTTACAGGACAGTCATACAGGATAGTCTTACAGGACAGTCATACAGGATAGTCTTACAGGACAGTCATACAGGATAGTCTTACTGGACAGTCATCAGGATAGTCTTACAGGACAGTCATACAGGATAGTCTTACAGGACAGTCATACAGGATAGTCTTACAGGACAGTCATACAGGATAGTCTTACTGGACAGTCATACAGAATAGTCTTACTGGACAGTCATACAGGATAGTCTTACAGGACAGTCATACAGGATAGTCTTACAGAATACAGGATAGTCTACTGGACAGTCATACAGGATAGTCTTACAGGACAGTCATACAGGATAGTCTTACAGGACAGTCACACAGATAGCTACAGGACAGTCATACAGATAGTCTTACAGGACAGTCATACAGGATAGTCTTACAGGACAGTCATACAGGATAGTCTTACAGGACAGTCATACAGGATAGTCTTACAGGACAGTCATACAGATAGTCTTACTGGACAGTCATACAGGATAGTCTTACAGGACAGTCATACAGGATAGTCTTAGGACAGTCACAGGATAGTCTTACAGGACAGTCATACAGGATAGTCTTACAGGACAGTCATACAGGATAGTCTTACTGACAGTCATGCAGGATAGTCTTACAGGACACATACAGGATAGTCTTACTGGACAGTCATACAGGATAGTCTTACAGGACAGTCATACAGGATAGTCTTACAGACAGTCATACAGAATAGTCTTACTGGACAGTCATACAGGATAGTCTTACAGGACAGTCATACAGATAGTCTTACAGGACAGTCATACAGGATAGTCTTACAGGACAGTCATACAGGATAGTCTTACAGGACAGTCATACAGGATAGTCTTACAGGACAGTCATACAGGATAGTCTTACAGGACAGTCATACAGATAGTCTTACAGAACAGTCATACAGGATAGTCTTACTGGACAGTCATACAGGATAGTCTTACAGGACAGTCATACAGGATAGTCTTACAGAACAGTCATACAGAATAGTCTTACTGGACAGTCATACAGGATAGTCTTACAGGACAGTCTACAGGATAGTCTACAGGACAGTCATACAGGATAGTCTTACAGGACAGTCATACAGGATAGTCTTACAGAACAGTCATACAGGATAGTCTTACAGGACAGTCATACAGGATAGTCTTACTGGACAGTCATACAGGATAGTCTTACTGACAGTCATAGAATAGTCTTACTGAAATGGATAGTCTTACAGGACAGTCATACAGGATAGTCTTACAGGACAGTCATACAGGATAGTCTTACAGAACAGTCATACAGGATAGTCTTACTGGACAGTCATACAGAATAGTCTTACAGAACAGTCATACAGGATAGTCTTACAGAACAGTCATACATGATAGTCTTACAGGACAGTCATACAGGATAGTCTGACAGGACAGTCATACAGGATAGTCTTACAGGATATTCATTCAGGATAGTCTTACAGGACAGTCATGCAGGATAGTCTTACAGGACAGTCTTACAGGATAGCCTTACAGGACAGTCATGCAGGATAGTCTTACTGGACAGTCATACAGGATAGTCTTACAGGACAGTCATACAGAATAGTCTTACTGGACAGTCATACAGGATAGTCTTACAGGACATTCATACAGGATAATCTTACTGGACAGTCATACAGGATAGTCTTACAGGACATTCATACAGGATAGTCTTACAGGACAGTCTTACAGGACAGTCATACAGGCCAGTCTTACAGGACAGTCATGGAAGACAGGCAGACAGAACATCTACTTTGTCTTTTCCTGATAAGTAACTTTTTTCTCCTCTCTCTTCCTACAGGTGGAACACTGAGGCGTGCGTGTCCTTCAGTGGAGAGACTAACCACTCCTTCATTCAGGAGCTCAAAGACAATAACATTTTACCCAAGGACTCCGTCGTCGAATTCTGGGAGTAAGTTCCTTTGAGAAGATGTTTACAGCACGAGAGAGAGAGAGAGGGGGATGTTCCTTAAAGACACCTTCTTGTATTCAGTCATCATACTCTAAGGTTTAAGCCATTATAATTCTCAAGGGATTCAGTCTTCATCATCCTCAAGGGATTAAGTCATCATAGTGTAGTGTAGAGGTTATTTCATCATCATATTCAAGGGATTAAATCATTATACTCTTAAGTCATCATCATACTCAAGAAGACTTAATCACACTTAGTCATATCCTGAGTAACATGATGGTGGTACACAGTAACATGATGGCCGCTTGCTCTCATCGACCATTCCCCCCCACCCCACCCAAGTCAGGACATGACACACAAATGACTCTCTCGTGGTTGGAGAGTCTGTGTGAGTCAGGTGGTTAATGTAACAAAATTATATGAATCAGAGGTGGTGGGGAGTGTGTGTGAGTCAGTGAAAAGTCCACACTTAGTAAAATGCCAATTGTCACTTGCAAAATGTAAACAGATTTCCAGCTGTGTGTGTGTGTGTGTGTGTGTGTTACATCAGTATTGTTAATCTGTGTTGAGAGAGAGAGTAACAGTAACATTATTTTGCAGTAACCGCGTGCTTCAGATCACAGATGGGGTGGGCACACTCGGCACGATGGTCTGGCCTCTGTTCGGTACTCTGATATTCTCCTGGGTGTGCACTTACTTCGCCATCTGGAAGGGCGTGAAGGTTACCGGCAAGATCATGTATTTCACAGGTAAGCCAATCACCTCAGAACATCGTTCTCGGAACATTTAACATCATCACCAGCCAATCACTTCCTCCCCGTTTGCAATACTTGGCAGTATGTGAAATAGTTGCCATTAATCGCAAACAACGCCCCCGAGACGAGAGTGAACCGGCGCTCTTTATTAACCAGCATTATATTTCAGAAATGATTTGATTTGATGATGATGCTGTACTAACGAGACATCTTTACAGCCACTTTCCCGTATGTGATGCTAACGGCTCTGCTGGTCCGTGGGGCGACGCTGCCTGGGGCTTCTGAGGGTATTCGATTCTACCTCGAACCCAAATGGGAGAAAATCCTCGACTATCAGGTAATAACCAGTGTTTTCAGGGCCAAAGCTACTGGGTCGCTGCTGCAGGCTGTTGCCGTCTCGGGTCCTCGTCCTTCTGTCAACAGGTAACTCATATGTATTGCTCGATCACCAGTCTCCTCCCCAACACCTCTGTCTATCACATGTATTATTGCTCGTTACTTATGTAAAATTTTTTACTCTTATGATGTTCGTGCATTGAGTAACATTATTGGTTTGGGAACTGTTATCCAGCCAACGCGAGTTACAGGTTCCCTGGCCCAGCCCCGCTCTGAGCCACTCATCAACTCGGTGGAAATGTGGCTTTGTCTTCGCCCTAAGATTAATGTCTCATTCTGGTCGACATAATAGCCATTCCCGGTCGCCGGGGGGAGAGTGACACGACTGTTGTGCGGCATGATAGACTCTGTGTCTTAGGAATGTCAGTCTCAAGTTTATTGTATCCGATGTCAGTTGTGTTGTTGAACTTAAAATGTTATGATTATCAGCCGAGTCAGTGTTCAGTATCTACCAAGTTATAATGACTGACAATTCCCGGCACAAGTCATCTATACTATGGAGCATTTTGCTGACCTTCATCTTTCCCCTGAAAGATGGTCAGAGCTATATTTACCCTGGTCCTTAGATGCATCTAATCCTTATCTGGCAACTTTATAACACTTGGCGAGTCAAACTCACTGTAGTAGAAGATGAAGGAGCGCACGAGGTGACTTAGTGAGCAATCTATTCAGACGACCAGTCTTGGCCATCAACCTTGTTGGTGGCTCAGCCTGGTCTCCCAGGGGTAACATACTTGGCTCATGTTTTGCATGTAGATGCACGAATAATGCATTGATAAAGAACTAAGCGGTCATGAAGATGGCAGATGAGATAATAAAGGACTGGGGGGTAGGGAAGGGAGGGCCCACTGAGGACTAGCTGCCATGCTAATACTGAGAGATGACTTCATCATGACTGCTCTCTTGAAAGAAAGCCCCTGGCCAAGTATAAAGCATTACTCTGTTTTGTCATCTTGGTCTTTTATTTTCGAAAAAAAACAAAAAAATGGGACATTGAAATATGTCATACTGTACTGAAACACTGGTCATATGGCATGTGGATGGCAGGTCCACACGTCGCTGAGCCTTCAGTCCAGGTTGGTCAATATGGCTTTTTACTCGGTAGGTGTGGAACGATGCTGGCACGCAGGTCTTCTATTCCTACGCGGTGGCTCTCGGTGGGATGATCGCTCTTGGCTCCTACAACAAGTTCAACAACAACTTCGTGAGTCAGTGTGCCATCTTGTGTGTGTGTAACTCCTGCACTTCATTATTCGCCGGGTTTGGCATCTTCAGTATCCTCGGCTTCATGAGCTACCAACTGGAGCTCCCCATGGAGCAGGTCGCAGAGGCTGGTACGTGACACACTTACGTCCTCCCTGAATTTATTTAGAAAATGAAGCTATTTAAATAATTTCATCACCATGTTAATGATATAACTTTAGGTAGGATGTGTCTATGAAAATTTATAAGCAATATTTATATACATATACTGTATTATGAATAATTACTAACATTTTTCTGTTCATGGTCAGGACCTGGGTTGGCCTTCATTGCATATCCTAAGGCTATGGCGTCTATGCCCTTGGCGCCCCTCTGGTCAGCCCTCTTCTTCTGTATGATCCTCATGGTCGGTCTAGACTCCCAGTTCGTCCAGGTCAGTACCCCAGTACACATCCAGGGTCATGCCGGGGTCAGTAGGGGAAAACTGGTATCCCGTTTGAGGCTGTAGTGCGCACTTTATGGGTCATGAGATAAATTATAAAAACAAAACAGTCGAGAATTAAATTACCAGGAATTCATTTAAGATACAGGTAGTTCTGCTATAACGCGATAATTTTAGCCCTGTAAATATCAAGAAGAAAATCGTGGTTAGAAAGCTAAAGGGCTTATGGAGAAATAGGGTTAGTAGATTACTCAAATCGAAAAAATTTAGTAGAAGTTAGGCCTAATACAGATAGTACAGTTCAGCTAAATGTTGCGATCTATATCTATTAATGAAACTAAGCAGTAAATGTAAACTTTACTTGGATGGGGGAGAAGGGTGATTTTGAGGTTGAAAATCAGAGCCTTCAAGGTTTATCCCTCTTTACGATCATCACCGGAATTCTATCACCAGAACGCTTCTTGTTGATATTCTTCTTTACTATATTCACAGTTAATACATACCACAAAATTGGAGAAATAGTAAGCAAAAATCGCGTTATAGCAAACAAGCGTTCGCGTTATGCAAATATCGTTCCTAATTCATAAATCGCGTTAGAGCAAATTCGCGTTATCAAAACACGCGTTATAGCAGAACTCACTGTATTATTAAGACACTGGGGATAAAAGAGAGAGAGAGAGAGAGAGAGAGAGAGAGAGAGAGAGAGAGCTTCCTCGAGACATTTATCACCCGAGATCAAAAGGCCTCCACACTACTTATCATTTACTTGGGTGTGATGCAGGTAGAGTCGGTGGTCACAGCCATTGTGGACCTGTTCCCTGACTACCTCCGTGTTGGACGCAGGAGGGAGGTGCTGGTTGGGGCCGTCTGCCTAATCGACTTTGCCATCGGGTGCACAATGGTCACTCAGGTACGTGTTGTCACAGAGAGGAATATTCCTCTCTTGGACTCAATTGCCATATTGTGATGAACACACACACACACACACAGGATAAAAGAAAAAAATAGAATAATACATCTTGATATATATTCAATACAAGCATATCTGTTTTACTGCAATATAGATATTTATGTACATGTTTTATTATGTGTTCCAGGGAGGAATGTACGTTTTCCAAATCTTTGACTCCTTCTCGGCCAGTGGCATTATCCTGCTGACCATCTGTTTCTGTGAGTGTATGGTTATTGCCTGGGTGTACGGCGCCAAGAGGTTCTCAGACAATGTGAACATGATGTTGGGTCATGCCATTAACCCCTACTTCACCATCTGCTGGAAGTTCATCACTCCCACCCTCACGCTGGTCAGTAACGATGTTCAAGGTCTTCCTCTTAAAATGTGATAAAGGAAGAGGTTTCTCAATATAGATCTAAATTTTGATGCTCTCCATTAGCAGATGAAAAAGGCAGATTGTAACCCGTGCACTAGTAACAAGTGTTAGTCAGTCCAAGAGTCTGTTACTGGCAGGTTTTACTGTACATTGCTTGGAAAATGAAGGCCATAAACTTTAGTATTTCATCTTGACTGTTCTTGAGCATGGAATGTATTCTGAAACTTACTTCTTCTTGAGTCCGAATTACCGGGTATTTACTTTTCCTAAAACATTCTTGGAATATATAGTAATGAAACATTTATTATTTCTGATCAGTCATTAGACAATCTTACTGGTTTAGCTTCTGTTTGATGATAATCTAGACGTGTGAAAAATGTCTTTTCTAACAACGCTGTGTTTCAGTTACAAATTCACATGAGGCACTGCCTTAAATTCATTTGTCCTTTTTGCAAGATTTTTTATTAGTAATAAATGACAAAGTTAGTTATCTGGTTGGCAGCCATTCACGTTTTTCCTTTATCTCCAGAGTATGGTAATCTTTGCCCTGATCTTCCAATCTGCGCTGACCTACAACAAGACTTATGTGTACCCTGTCTGGGCTCAGTGCATGGGCTGGCTCCTTGTGTTTGGTTCCTTGGTATGGATCCCCGGCTTCACCTTCTACAAGTTTTTCCAGTACCCCGGCACCTTCAGGGAGGTAAGTCTCCCATTCCACATGGGGAAGTTTCTTCCACAAATATTGGGTCCACAACAAAGATTTGCAGCCAAGATCACCCAGCTAGATCACTCGACCAAGTTTGTAAACTAAAACAGAAACAAATTTAAGAATATAATATACAGTAAGTCCTCGTTTAACGTCCCCCCCACCCCCGATAACATTGTTTCGCTATAACGTCACTATTCTTTAGATACCCATGATTCAGATAACGTCCTGCCGATTCAGTATAACGTCGTCACGGACTACTTTGTACGGCGCATCACCCCCTCTCATCTTGGCGCGCTACGCTCTCACCCGCGGAGTGTCACGGCGTCCCCAAGCGTCGCCAGTCTTTGTTAAGCTACCACAGCATTCGTGTGTGTTTAAGTGTTATTGCTCTTAATACTGTACTCTAACCATTCGAAATGGCTTCCAAGCACCCATCAAGTGCTACTGATGCTAGTGTTGTGAAGGACCCATGTAAGACCATTAGCAAAGCTACGAAAATGGAGGTTTTAAACCGGGAGGAGGAGCCATCCACCTGGTCTCAGTGGCTCACCTCCCTCCTCTTTCTCTTTCTGTCCCGCCCTCCTCCTCCGCTCCACTGTCCACCACACACTCGCTCCACCACCTCCGTTCATCAGTGAGTACAATACAAAATGATTTAGTTTATTTATATACTGTATATATATATATATATATATATATATATATATATATATATATATATATATATATATATATATATATATATATATATATATATATATATATATATATATATATATATATATATATATATATATATATATATATATATATATACATACAGCTAGACCTCTAATTTACATGCTAATTAATTTACTTAAGCCGACGATTTTAATCACGACTTACGACCAAGAGATTTTAATTTTTTTTTTCAAATGACATGCATTTTCTATAACCAAACGTTTCCAGTTAATGTAGTCTCCATGTATAATTAGAAAATTATGGGGCCCTATGTGCATTCAGCTGACTACATTAAAGGTAAGTGCTCAGTCACACTGTATCCATTCCTTATTACAGGTATTTATTACTTCACCGTACTGTATCCATTCTTCATTATTCATTACTTTTACTGTACTGTATTTCATTGTAGATTTTTTATTAAATTTTTTATCTGTGTCGACTTAATTTACCTGGATTTGTCCCTAACCTCGTAAGTCGGGTCTATCTGTGTAATAATATATATATATATATATATATATATATATATATATATATATATATATATATATATATATATATATATATATATATATATATATATATATATATATATATATATATATATATATATATATATATATATATATATATATATATATATATAAATACTATTTTCTATAAAAATGCCATTGAATTTCTGTACATGTAATGTATTTTATGGGGCAAAGGGAGGCTAGGGAACATAACTCCCGTATTTTATCTATTTCTTGTGGGGAAAATTGATTACGGTAACGTTGTTTCTGTTATCGTCACGGTTTTCAGGAAAGGAACCACGACGTTAAGCGGGGACTTACTGTATTCTTAAACTAATGGATATTAACCATGAGTGGTGTAGGTTTCAAATTTTAAGTATATCTAAAGAAAATTTTTTCTCAGTGTATTATCAAGGAGAGCCTTTTCAAGTACTGTATCTAAATAGCTTTTTTAGTCTTAAATTAATGTTCGGCCCAAGTGAAGTAATTTGAAAATTTATATACAGTATACTGTACTGTACTTTGTTGAGGGCTCATTAAGTCTGAATAGCCTACTTTCTCACACTAATTTTATAATATTTATCAATCTTGTGTGTGTGACCATGATATGGATCAAACGAATGTCATTAATGTTAACCTTACAGAAGTGGATTGCATCTACGCCTCCCATTTTGAAGGCCCACCACTTGAGGCCTCAGGACTGGGAGGAGAATTCCGACCTCCCATATAAGAAGACCATGACCATGGATCCACTTACTGAAGATGCATAAACTTCCCCTTCCCAGGGACTCCTCAGGGAGCCAACCACGATGAAACAGGTGAAAGAAGGAAAAATCCACCTGTTTCTTCTGAGATGTTCCAGAAGCAAGAAATCGTCCACTCATTCCTGCTGTCGACTGATATCTTGATGGAACATTTTAAAATGTCTTCTTACCCTGAGTATGGATGCAATAATCCTCAGAGATTTCCATTCAGGGGAAAGTAAAAGTAAACGAGCCTGTAGATGATGATTAACGAAAGTGACAGATGTAACAGTGATAAGCACTCCCACCTTACTGTTTGTGACTTGTTATGAAAGAAACGTCTGGCAACCGTAGACCATAGGTTGTTTGGGCTGTATTCGTGATGTAGGTTTATTCTCACATTGTTATGACCATACTGTAGGTGCATCGAGGTGGTTAGTACTCACCTGGCAGAGATGCGACAGAATATGCAAGCAATACAGTATTAATATTACTCTACAGCATCTTAATAGCTACAGTTAAATGGCTACTTTAGTTCTGTCACATAAAGCTGACCAGGATGTATTGTGTGCTCAATTTAGCAACCATATTAGTCATTTTATAAGACAAAAAAATGTGGTTACCCCATCACCTACTGCATATGAGGAGCAAGTTGTGTCTACCATGAGGTGCACTGCCTAAAAAAAGTCTTCTGTAACATCCTGGTCAGGTTGTTGAGACGAGGCCAAGGCAGTATTAGCATGAAGTATTTATTTAAAGACAGAAACACTAGTAAAAATTGTCGCCTCGTCACGTACTACTTAGGAACTTAGAACACGTGACTCTGCTGGATATGTTGAAGGTGGTCAGTTGCCATCTGCTGACCGGGGAAACACCGTCCAAGGTTGAAACTAAAGTAAAAGACCTCTCGATGACTATCTCCCTGAAGCAAATGTACGAAAAACAAGCAAAGTCCATTGCCAAATGCTGTATCAGTATTTTCGTTTGTGTTTTCCTTAAATGATGGAATCACAGAGAAAAGTATTTTGTTTTTCTATTTGTGGATGATTGAAGTGAGACTTCATGAGCCTTTGTATCCGCCTTGGTGCTGCTCCGTTATCCAGCGTTGGAAATGTGGTAACGGCTATTTTGTGCTGTACAATATTAGAGTTAAGCCCTAGTCGGGAATAACTTTGAGTACTATATAGAAATTCTATGTAGGAATTGTTCAAAGTGTAATGTTAGATAGTGTCGGATGCTGAAACAGCAACGACATCAAAAATGTTACTTTGACTGATCTGTTAATGCCCATCTCACATTTGTTTATAGTCACTGTTGTCATTTTATTCATGAATCATCGTCTTGTGCATATTCTGTAGTTACTCATTTGTATCATTCCATATTGTCATGTTTATGTGTTACATAATGCCATAGTTGCATAAATTCATGTATAGTGCATAAGTATCTGCATAATGGGTGGAAGGCACTAGGCAAGGACACTTCAGTTTTCCCGTCTGGTCCACCTCACTCACTCTCATGTATACTGTATATAACTACAGTCTGTCACACACACTTGCGTTTATCCTAGACTAAAGTTAGAAATAATAACTTGAGGAACTGATGTACCGGGTTGCGTCTTGCTGCTCTTAATTCGTTAAACCCCTTATATGAGGTAGGTTGGTGGGCCTTTCAGTGGAACCTGTGTAACAACCATATCTGGGCAGGAGACAAAGATGTAACCATGATACAGGTTCAAGAAAAACACAGAAGCACCGACGACATTGGTTCGAATCAAGAAAAGGTCACTTGAAAGTTAGCCATTTATTGCCATGGAATTTTTATTCTAATTATAACACTTATTGTTGCTCCCCGGCCAGCCAAACATATGCTCCTGCTAAGAGCCAAACTTATTTACAATTTCCGGTGTAGATTCTGAGAGCTATCTGTATGCAGTGTAACAAACATGTGTATGACTTTTGTTTAGTGATGTGTCATCAGCAGGTCAACTGAAGACGGAGCTTAGCACTACAATATTCCATACAATATTTCCTTTACCTCATAATTCTCCTCGCGGAAATGGTAACACATCTCGCTTCGTCTCATGATCATTAATGTTTTTGTAAAATATTAGTAAATACAAGACTTTGAATGGTATGCCACAAGGCTTAACTGTGTTGTTTGAAGATGATGTTACCTGTGTGTCCGAGAAACTTGACAATAAGAACTTGGCCCAAAAAGGTTATCTGTAATATTTGGCAACACAGTGCTTAACTCTGACAGAATGGCTTGTTAAACTTGGCATATCGCTGAACAAACTTGGCATCCCATGCTCAAGAAAAATTCCAAGGCGTTGCCAAAAGTGAAAGGGTACTACCATGGCCGGCAATATACACTAACACACTTCTTTACCATTAACAGTTATGGTTGAACATGTTTGTGTAATTTTCTTTTAAGCCAAATAGGTATGGGAATTTCAAATATTAATTTTGACATTTTGGTAGATCATATTTTTAATCTACGCTTTGCAAACGAAGTTTTCATGACATGAGTTGTTTTATATTTTTACATTATTTTCTAGGTGGCATCATCATTGATCACAGCCATAATAAGCTTGGGTGAGCTTCACTCATTGGTGATATTTAAAACTTAAGTTGCAGGGATCAGATTTGTCAATGTCGGCCTTGTTGCAATCATCCGTAACTAGGAACTGCCTGTTTGCCTTCATATTGTAGCATTTATGTTCATTCATAATATTGTTATTCAAAATCATTATCTGTGTTATATGATAAGTAATTCGCTCATTATAACAATGTGCTCGGAATTGTCTTCCATTCTCTCAAACAGGATAATGGAACATCATTTAATTTTCCTATTTTAGGATTTTTTTTCATTCAGGCACTACGGGGCAATCGTTTCCATGGGCTAACTCAAGCAGTGAAGTGCTTGTTAATACAACACTAATGGTGCTGGAGTGATGTATTACCCGTCTACCTTAACATGGAACAACAGCCTCAGTCACTTGTATTTAGTATTAAGTTCTATGAACTTTTATAGTTTTAAGGCTTGAGCTGCCAGTGTCTTCACAAGGGAAGGAGCGAACTTGGTACAACCATCAGTATCAAATTTCGTGTGTTTACTGTACTTGTGTAGCCGTCAATTGTGTTGGTGGTGGAGCCCGGCACACCCCGCCCATGTTCCATAGCGCTTATCGTCGTATTTGATATTTAGTGCAGCCGAGCACTGTTTACCCATGTACCCGTACCTGGGGTAATGTTCAGCCTCGTGCCTCCACCATATTGTGGGGATACACAGTAAAGCCCTTTAATGTTCTTATTAACCACCGTCTGCAGGTTATAAGTTATAAACTTTTGTTTGCCATGTTATTCAAAGTTTATCCTAGTATACAGTAATGTAATTATGGTACTGAAAATAATTTATCAAAAATTATATGGTAATACTGTAACAACAATAATGAGGAATAACGGGCAGGTTTTAATTATGACGTTAGGCTATGATGTGATGCACCACACCCGAGGCTTGAACTACCTGTATTGAGAAATTATGAGTGAACAAATTTAAAAATGATACTTGTTCAGGCCGGTTCCGTGAAATATCTCATCTTATCCGATCAATTCACTGAACAGTAATTTCATTTCTTGTTCGCCAGCATTGTTGAAATATGACGTATCTAGGTACTCCGTTGTTAAATATATTCTTGTTGGTTAAGGAGTAAAGCAATTAGTGTTCAGCAACTGTAAGAGGCAGCAGGTGTCGCGTCCATTATATAATTTGTGACCCTGACAACCATACACTTCATGTTTGTGACCTCCTTATCTAAAAAAAAATAATAATCTTCAAGTATTCTTACTCTTCTTAATACTTGTTCGAATTTTTGGAAAGTGGGGACGCTTTTGAGGTCCATGCGAGAATTACAGTGTTTATTCTCCCTCCGTAAAGCTTGGCGTGCCGAGTATGAACATGAGCGATGATGTGTTATAATTAGTGGGAGGACGTCCGCCGCCTCACAGTTTGTTTACGCTTCTGAAGGTGCTGTGCAGAGCTTTGGTCTTAAACTCTGTTACTGGCGATTTCTGGACAGTGTTTAATTAAATGCTATATTATCTATACATATGCGTATTTGGGAACAATAATTTAACAACCAGTTTAGATTTAATTGTCAAAATGTTAACAGAATGTGTAAAAAGCTGGCAGGGCAGAGAAAAGAACTTTTGCAGTGACCAACGGAGCTCTTTCCCGACTTTTCGATGATTGGCCGCTTGTCATAAGAACCTAAGGAGACTACAAATTACTTGAAGGAAAGTGTTCTGTTGGTGAGCTGTAAAACTATATTTTCTTACTGTAAAATAAATATATTGTCTGTATTGTTAAATTAGAAGCATCAAATTAAAAAATATATATAGGTTTTCTTTTCTTCCACATTCCTCTTGTTGCCTTCACCTACAAAGACGAAGAATATTGAAATAAAGTTACAGAGACAAGGAATTTGTACGTTGATATCAGTAAAGTTTTATATAAAGACTTTTTTGCATTTCTCCACGGGTTAAGTACTTATTGTCATATTACAATCATCTTTTTCTTTTGTCCTTTTCACCACTGATCGACTAAGTAGCCACTTTGGCGATCGGTCACGCTAGGGTTTCGGTGAAGTTGTCTCAAGACTCGATGGGTTGGAGAAAGGAAACTCATAATGTGCTCTTTGAATATATATTGTATTGGATGTACAGTGCAGCTTGGTGCTGGGAAGCTGCTGCGTGGTTAGCAGCGTGGAGTAGAGAGCTGGTTGGTGAGGAGCTTGCTCGGTGTTGTGCTCGTGGCTGTAGGTAGAAGAAGAGGCTGTTCATGGCGAGGTCAGGGCCTTGATGGCTGACCTCGCTTTGTCAGACGTCGCTAGAAGCTGACCTTAGACCACGAGGCATTGACTGGGTAACCCGAAGGATCGCTAGTCAGCAACAAACGGCAATTGTAGTTGTAGGGGAAATTTCCACGACAATTTATCTGTTACGCTCTGTTGGCAAGTAGTGGGCATGCACCGGCTCCTGAATGTACCTGAACCTGCTCCAGTCCAGTGTTGGTCAAGTCTGGTCTTGAAAGAGCTTACACTCGGTCCCGCCACAACACTTTCTGGCAGATTGTTCCAAGAGTTTGTAGGGTTCTCCCTACAAACGCTTGTCGCTGAGTACGAACCCCGCGAATTCCCAGTGTATGCCTCGTGGTCTAGGTCAACCAGCGCCGCCTTACATAACGGAGGTCAACGATTAAGCCACGCCTACCTCCGCTATATAAGACCTGACCTCGTGGTAACCTCTCTCTTCTACCTACACCAACCAGCAAGCAACACCTCCTCCTCCTCCTCCTGCCTGGCGGTCCTCCTCCCCGCCAGCTAGCATGGCGACCCACAAGCTATCCTCCTCTGAGCACCCTCACCAACCAGCTCTCTCTACATCACGCTTGTAACCAATTTGCCTTCCCAGCACCAAGCTGCACTGTACATCCAATACAACATGTATACAGAGAGCACATTGTGAGTTTCCTTTCTCCATCCCATCCTAAGTGTGAACCAAATATCTTGTACCCCACAAGTTCACAACTCTCACTCCGAAATAGCTGTGAACAACATTAGTTACCTCGGTACTCTCTGTGTGTGATTGTGTGTGTACGGAGAACCTTCCGTCGTTTCATAGTAAAGGCTGGATACTCAAAATATTTAAGACGTCAGCTACGACGTCTATTTTAGCTGTGACTCAATACTCAAAACACAATTGACGGCCACGGGCTCGGCCATATAGAGCACAGTATATTTGATGACTGATGCCCCGTCCTTGGCGTTATTACAGCTATTTAAATTAAATTGAAAGTATAAACTGAATTGCAAATTAAAGTATATAGAATCAAGAGCTAATACAACCCAAGAATAAGGTGAAAAAGTGCCCAAATAAATACAGATTTCCACAGCCGACAGACAGATACCGTTCGTGTAAACCCTGCTCGCGGCTTCACTACACAAGACGACTACAAAGCAAGCCGAACGCTTGCTAGTTTTTGGGTGTTTAACTGTTTATCACAATTCACAAATTAAAACCACGGGTGATATAACTTACCATCGTTTTCCGAAGGATAAAGAACTGAGACGAAGATGTATTCACTTGTGCAAGAGGAAAGACGTTATAAATACTGGAAATGCCCTGCAGCTTGCATTTTGAGGCCAGCGCGTTTGAGGATAACTTAAAATAAACTGCTTGGACTACCAGTACCAAGAAGACTTGAAAGGATTAAGAATGGAGCAATACCAACATTATAACTGCCATGTTCAAAAGGTGATTAATGGTATTGTAGGGGTATCGAGATATTAAAGTTGTCTAGCACTCAGGATGGAAGGAAACTCTAATGTGGTTTTCTTATATAATATATATAAGTTATATGATAGACAGTCTGGTGCTGGAGATGCCGTGTGGTGGGGAGCAGCTCAGTAGAAGACGTTCGGTGAGTATCGTGTTGAAGGAGGTAGATGTGCAGGAGCTTGTTAGAGAAGGTGTTGCCTGTGCTGCTGGCCTCCTGGTTGAATGAAATGTTAACAGCGTGGAGCTTGCTGGAGGAGATGTTGCTTGTTCAGGAAAATGGGCAGAATGAGTTGGTTGGTGAGGAAGCTCAGAGAAGGACATGCTCGCTGGCGGGAGCGAGGACCGCCAGGCAGGCGGAGGAGAGGCGAGGGTCGCCAGGCAGCGGCAAAGGAGGAGGTGTTGCTTGTTCAAGAAGATTGGTCAGACTGAATCTCAAGGGAGAGACAGAGCTTATATACACCCAGCAGCGGCTATGAGTCATGGTTGGAAAACCCGAGAAGTAGCCGGTGACTAGTTCCGTTGCTAAGATACGGTAACATCTGGGGACAGCTCTCGCTTGGTTGCTAGGGGAGGCGGCACATTGGAATGTGATACGCAGTTGTAGGGGAGACGTCCACTACAATACTCCCCCTCCTCTCCAGGCGGTGTAGGAGACTTGTTGATTGTAGAGTTGCTTAGCACATGTGAGGAAGACCGGGCGGTGCATGCCTCATGTGAGACAACGGCGATGGCGTGATGAGCCGATCGCTGAAATACAACTGTCTAGATACACACTATCTGTGGGAGAAGGGAGAAAAAGGGTGTGTGGAGGCGATGGATGTTGTGCTTCCCTCACGACAGGTACAGGGTCGTCAGATGCGCCTGCTGGGGTGTGTGTGGGCCTGGATCAGGAGCAGGGGCTGGGTCAGCAGAAGCGGGTTAGGGCTCGTGACAGCAGCTGGGTCCACGACAGCAGCAGGGTGCAGGACATTAGCAGGGAGTACCTGAGGGAGAAAAGAGGGGTGTGTGTGGGTCTGGATTCAGGAACAGAGGCTGCGTCAGGGGTTACTGCTGGGCCGGGGTCGGCATCTGAGGAGGACGGGTGTGTTGGGGTTGTAGGATGTGGTGCGTGAGGCAGGAAGAGGAGCCGGTGTCTGCTTGAAGACTGGGAGCGTGATCAGTGTCTCCTCCATCCTGTGTGAGTGCTAATCTCCGGGAGTCACCATTGTAGGGGTATCGAGATATTAAAGTTGTCTAGCACTCAGGATGGAAGGAAACTCTAATGTGGTTTTCTTGTATAATATATAAGTTATATGATAGACAGTCTGGTGCTGGAGGTGCTGTGTGGTGAGGGGCTGCTTGGTAGAGACGTGCGGTGAGTAGCTTGTTGAAGGAGGTAGATGTGCAGGAGCTTCGTTAGAGAAGGTGTTGCCTGTTGCTGGCCTCCTGGTTGAATGAAATGTTAACAGCGTGGAGCTTGCTGGAGGAGATGTTGCTTGTTCAGGAAAATGGGCAGAATGAGAGTTGGTTGGTGAGGAAGCTCAGAGAAGGACATGCTCGCTGGCGGGAGCGAGGACCGCCAGGCAGGCGGAGGAGAGGCGAGGGTCGCCAGGCAGCGGCAGAGGAGGAGGTGTTGCTTGTTCAAGAAGATTGGTCAGACTGAATCTCAAGGGAGAGACAGAGCTTATATACACCCAGCAGCGGCTATGAGTCATGGTGGGAAAACCCGAGAAGTAGCCGGTGACTAGTTCCGTTGCTAAGATACGGTAACATCTGGGAACAGCTCTCGCTTGGTTGCTAGGGGAGGCGGCACATTGGAATGCGATACGCAGTTGTAGGGGAGACGTCCACTACAGTATATTATTTCCGGTAAAGGTGGGTGAGACAACACCAGAAATAACACGGATATTAACCCAAAAAATTGGAGATACTATCTGCATGATACTGAATTTAAAACTCAGGCGCATTTTCCGCAAATTTCACGAAAATTCTCGGGATGAGAGAATTTTTTCCGGCTTTGAGGGATGATGTACAGTAATGCGCAATTTCTGTAACTTCTGAGAACATTTTACCGTTACCTGGAAAATTCCGGGGATGGGGGATTTTTTCCGGCTTTAATAAGAGAGTCATCTTGTTACCTGGAAATTTCTCATTCCCCGAAGTCCTCTGCACCAATTGTTCCGGCTAACGGAGATATTACTGTACAGTATTTCCCACTGTATTAAATGTACTGTACCACAAATTCAGCTAGCAATATTAAAGCAAAAATTACTGAGATTCTCAAGCATGCATGTTCCCAAGGAAGTTCACATAAACCAAACTTGCATAAAGCAAAGACTACTACTGTACTGGATGACTATTAATTCATGGACATACAGCCCCTCCCCGACATACGATGGGGTTAGGTACCCAAATCCAGGTCGTAAGCCGAATTGGTCGTAAGTTGAAAATGCTTGAATAATACAGCTCCTCCCAGACTTACGACGGGGTTAGGGACCCAAATCCAGGTCGCAAGTCAAAATGGTCGTAAGTCGAAAATGCTTAAACAATACAGTACCTAGAAAATATAAAATGGGTGTCTCTTTTTCTTCTCAACACCACAAAACTCTCACTTTTAAGCTTGCCAGCCATTTTAAAGTGAATTACAAATGAAAATTTTGTCAGTACGCAGTGCAATCACTGACGTTGGGACTCGAAAATACGTAATTTGACAAAATTTTGGTATGACTGAGGCGGTCGTAAGTCAAGTAGGTTGTAAGTTGTGAATATTAAATGTGTTTTTTTTTTTTTTTTGGTTACAGGTGAATTAAAGATTAAACTTTGGGAGATTGAACTGCACAATCACAACTGAAAATAATATCTGGAACCTGGGACAAACAGTTACTATTGTAAAACTTCATTCCAATGAATATTATAATATCACCACCATCACTCTCATCATGGCAGCATCACCATCAATGCCACCATCATGGCAGCAGCACCACCACCTATGACAAGGTAAACTATAGGAGCAGCTCTCATACCCTATAGAGAAAATCTTTGTGCCCCACAATCTCTTAAGATAAGTTGTTGTAACTGTGCT